AAAAAAAAAAAAAAAAAAAAAAAAAAAAAAGGTAAACGGTCCCCTACCCATAAGAGGGACCCCATTGGATGGAATAGAATTGGGACCGATTTGCATGGAAGTTGTTGTCCAATTTAATGCTTACACTTTCCTCACCTTTTTATTTATTGCATGCAAATTGCAACCTCCAATTAATTAAATTAATAAAAATATTAATAAAATTATCCAACTTTGTACTTTCCACTTTATTTAAAAAAAATATTCATAAAATTTATTTTTTAAAAAGCTATTACAGTTATTTTAGATAAAAATTGTTAATAATTTATTTAAAAAATTTAATGTATTTCAATTTTTTTAAAATATTAAAAAATACCTTTATCCTTATTTATGAAAAAAAAAATTAACAATATTATTGAAATTTTTAAAAATTTAGGGATATTTTTAACCATTTAACGTAATTTTAATAATAACCGGATGATTTTAACTTTATTTATTTTAAGTTTAAATAGTTTTTAATAATAACCCCTTCTTAATAATATAAATTTTTAAAAATGTATGAAATAAATAAATAAATTTATATTCAAAATTTAGGAAATAAAATTAAATTATTCTCTAAAACATTAATGCTGTTTTATGTCTCATATCTTCGAAAATTTTAAAATTACTCACTACAATTCTTTCAATAATTTCTCGAGTTTTTTCAAGACCATAATGCTAACACTATACACCACATTTTGCTTATCTCAAATATAGAGATTTTGTAGCTTTCTTCTCTTGTGGTCGTGATTGATGGATATATACATGTAGTCAAAAACTCCAATTTTAATGTCTCTGGTCCATTCTAGTATAATTTTTTTTAATTATTTTTTATTCCTATTTAAATTTAAAACTAAAACCTTTTGATAATTATAAAATAGGGCTCTAAATTTATAAAATAAATTAATTATTGTATTCTCTTAAATATAATTTAAAATTGATAATTAAAAGTAAAATGATTATTAGTTGGTAAGGAAGAGGGTTGCATGAGCGGAAAGGGTAAAGATGGAAATGAAAAATTGTACCGATTTTTGTGGAAACCAACATACTTTACAGTGGTTTTCCTCAAAATCTGTCGGCGCTCTCAAACATTGTGTTTTTTTCTTCTTTTTTTTTTTTGATTTATTTTATTTAATGTTAATTAATTAATTATTTGTTGAATATTATATTTTGAGCTTTTTGCAAAGCGAAGTAGATGTGTGAAATCTGAGTGGCTTTCACTACCAATTATGGGCTTTGCATAATCCAATTGTATATATTATATATTTTTTATAAAAGTTAATTTCCACGTCGGAGCCATGTGGGACCCATTTCACCCCTGTACTACGGCGCTGAGAAAGGGAGTTATTTCTTTTTACCAACCCATTAAAAAAATTTTAACTCATAATAATTACTTTTCACGGGAAAATGAATTGGGTCAAAATTCACTGACCCATGAAAGAGGGTGCCACGTGGGATGCTATAATTGAATCGTCGGAAATAGAGCAGCGTAGCGCAATATTGCCCTACCTAGCTGGCTGCATCACGGCCACGTATACAATTAAAAAATGACCCAGGGGAGTGGGGTCCAGTCAATAAGTCAAAAGTTAAGACTGTAAATAATCCCTAGAGGCGCGTGATGAAGAAACGCCAGCTGGATGATAAACGAGGACAAAACCGGGAATAAAGATAACGATTAGGGGTAAAATCGTCCATGGGGAGGTGGCGTGCTTTAACGTCATAAGCGGTGATACAGTGCCCTATTTTGCCATACACACACACTAACAGATCTTGAGTGGAACGCGCGAAGAACTCCACGATAAACGAACACGAATTTCTTTCTCTAATACCCTCTTCTAAATTTCCTTACATTTTCAAATTTTGGTTTGATGGAAAAATCGGGGAATGAAACAGGGAATTGTTCATGATTTGATACTGCAGAGTCTTTGAGATTTGCGCCTTTTTTTTTGAAGATCTTCACCGAATCAAGATGAATTAAAGCAAAGGCGGCTGCAATTTATGATGGTTTTTTCCAGTTACAGAGAGGAGAAGAAGAAGAAGAGGTCTATTTCTCTGTCTGCAATGCTGCTACTAGCCTGCTACTATCAGTTCTTGTGAGTTTTTTATTTCGAACCGAACGACATAATTCGATCCACTTTCCCATTTCTTTCCTCCTGACGCCATTTTTTCTGTGCAAGTTCTTCGCCAGAGGAACTTCTCTTTCTTCTAGTTTGATGTTTCCCCTCATTTTCCCCCTAAACGCTATTTTCTTTTGTGAATAATGAAATGATCTCTCTGTTTTGATTTAAGCGAGCGTCGGCAATGTCATCATAATGCATCCAAGTTAATTGATGACACGATAACCGAGACATTGGTTTAAATCGAGCATTTCTCTCGCGATAATGTCTATTATGATTCTCAGGTAGTAACGTGCTATCTACGGAGGAAATCTCTGAAAATCCGCCATTTCTATTATAGGCTTGAGGCTTCTTACACTGGGTTTGTTTCGGGCCAGTCATTGCTCGACTTGGTAAGTCCCACAACTTGTCTAGCAGTAGCGGAAGGAGATTGATGGCGTGAACGAATTTAAAGGAAAACAGGAGTCGTTTGTGTGTGTTTTTCTGCAGCGTTTGTTTCGTTATATTATCATCGAAGATGAAGTTCATGAAGTTAGGATCGAAACCGGACGCTTTTCTAGCCGATGGAAAAACTACTCGGTGAGCACCTACTTCAATTCTTCATTTCATTTCCGCATCTTAGTAACAGCATTTTTTTCCCACTCTGCACTTAGAATCTCAAATCGTGACTGCCGTTCGCTTTCATAATGAAATTGTCGTATTGTCAAGCTCAGACTCTCGAATGTTTTTCCTTCTGGTTTCATTTCTCTCCACTTGACTGTTCTTCCCTTGTCCCTAGTCTTTCTTATTCATTAAATGTGTATTTTCTTGTCTGTCAGTTCTAGTAATTAAGTGTTTCCTTATCTATATTAAAACTTGAGAATCTTCATGAAGCTGTTCATAGATGACTTGACCCGCTACTCTGTTTTTGGTGCACTAACATATGCTTTTAGAGGAAAAAGAATTATCGGTGTCAATAATTGGATCATTACGATAAAATTCTATGCGGGGTTTTCATTTTATTAGTTGGTTCGATGCTAATATTTAATTTTGCAAGCGAAATTGGAGGCAACTGGAATTCTTTCCACGACATCAGAGATGGTGGTCCACTCGTGTGTTGTCGTCTTCTTGTTGAGTTCGGTGGTTCGTATAATCTTTTTCCTTTGGGTTATCTATAACCCATCTTCTCTTTCATCTTGGACCCTCTGCACCACTTGTTAGCCATTGATTCCTTTCTTTAATGGTAACCGCTCAAGTCTTCATTCCCCCATTTAAAAAAGTTTAATGCCAGATTTTCACACCTTTATAAAAAATGTTTCATTTCTCTTTCTAACTGACATGAGATCTCACAATCCTCTCCAGGGGCTAGCGTCTTCGCTGACACATCATCGGTATTTGGCTCTAATATCATTTGTAATAGTCCAAGCCCATCTCATCATCGTATACTGTCCTCTTTGGGATTTTCCTTCGAGACTTTTTCTCAAGAATTTTAAATGTGCCTGTGAGAGAGTTTTTCACCCTTTTATAAGAGATGTTTCTTACCCTCTCCAACTTAGGTGGATCTCACAAGTTGATCCATTCCTTTTTTTTTTTTTTTCCTTTTTTGTCGTGGGTTAAACGAACAATTATTGTTGGGGCTTGGTCTTTGGCAAATTAGATTACATGCAGAATACCGTGTTATCATATGGCCTCCTGCATGTACGCTTGTGCCTTATCGATCATTCCTTTGTCAGCTGGTCAGGCTAAGATGGTGCTAGACTAATGGTTTGTCTGTTTGTTTTTGTTAGTATGTAATGATATCCGTATCCTTTTTCAACCGGATGAAAGAACTTTGTTAGTTCACTCGCATGTTTGCATCTGAAATTTTGACAGCCTTGCTACGTTTTTTAGTATTTTGGGATAATTTGAGCTCTCAAACAGAGGTGCCCAAGCTTTCTTTTCAGTGCGATGTCCCTTTCTTGTCAATTGACTGTCCTGGCATCAATGAAAAAGGCTTTCCCAATGCATGGACTCCATTTGTTTTTACCCATGCAATAATAGCAACTAATCCCTTGAACGCTTCAGTATGACTAATTCAGCCGCCATTCTTTAATTGATTGATATGATAGGAGCAGTTATACTGTTGTTGGAAGAGTTCAAATCTATACATTTATTGTAATTCAGCCCCCAATTACAGAACCGTCCTTTCTTTAAGTGTTTGATTTTCATATAATTTTCTTTAGATGACCTCTACGTTTCTATCAATCATTCGAAATTATATTTTTCGTCTCTGATTTGTCTTCATTGTTTGTTCCATAATTTGCTTTGTTCAGGTATGTTTCATCAGAATTGCCAACGGACGTTACCATTTTTGTCGGCGAAGTAAAGTTTCGTGTTCATAAGGTACGATGTTCTTTGTTGTGTAAGTGGATTTGGGATCCTCTTAGACTGACAGAAAGTTGATTACCTTTTTGTTTCTGTTTACTGTTAACATAAATGATAAAAGCCTAATCAAGTTATCTCAGAAGTTTGAGTTTTTTCTGTCTACAGTTTCCTCTGTTGTCCAAGAGCAATTGCCTGCAAAAACTAGTATCAAAAGCCAATGAGGAGAATTCCGAAGAAATTCATCTGATTGATTTTCCTGGTGGACCTAAGGCATTTGAAATATGTGCAAAGTTTTGCTATGGAATCACTGTTACTCTTAATGCCTATAATGTTGTGGCTGCTCGTTGTGCTGCTGAATTCCTCGAAATGACCGAAGATATCGAAAAAGGAAACCTTGTATTCAAGATCGAGGTGTTCTTAAACTCTAGCATCTTTCGTAGTTGGAAAGACTCCATCATTGTGCTCCAAACATCCAAATCTCTTCTTCCATGGTCTGAAGATTTGAACATTGTAGGGAGATGTATCGATTCGATTGCCTCGAAAACTTCTGTGGACCCTGCAAATATCACATGGTCTTACACATATAACAGGAAGCTAGCAGAGGTAGATAGAATTGTAGATGATGGAATGAAGGGTCAAAAGAAAATTGACTGTGTACCAAACGACTGGTGGGTTGAAGATGTTTGTGAGCTAGAGATTGATCTGTATAGGCGTGTTATGATTGCTGTGAAATCAAAGGGAAGAATGGACGGTTCTGTAATTGGGGAGGCGCTTAAAACTTATGCTGTTAGATGGCTACCAGACACTGTTAATGCTTTGGCCTCTGATGCTCATATTAAGAGGAACAGGTCTCTCATTGAAACAATCATTTGCTTATTGCCATCCGACAGAACCACAGGTTGCTCATGCGGTTTCTTGCTCAAACTCATGAAGGTTGCCATTTTGGTTGGAGCAGATGATGCATCGAGGGAAGATTTGGTGAAGAGAATTAGCTTGAAACTACATGAGGCTTCAGTCAAAGATTTATTGATTCTTGCACAATTTCCTCAAATTACAAGATATGATGTTGACTTGGTTCATAGGATTGTGAATCAGTATTTTGTTCATCATAAGTTTAACCGAGATTCAGACGATATTGAGCGGAGCGAGAAAGGAGCTGATAATCTTTTACTGGGGCATGGATCCTCATTGAATGTAGCTAAATTGATTGATGAGTACCTTGCTGAAATTGCAGATGACCCAAATCTCTTACTCGCTAGGTTCATCGACTTGTCACAGTCGATTCCTGAATTTGCAAGGCCAATACATGATAGATTGTATAAAGCAATCGACATTTATCTTAAGGTACGTAACGTAGAGTTTTCACGCCCGTTTATATTGCTGTATGAAGTTGTTAAAATAACATAGCCGATTCCATAACCGAGGCGATCGACTTATCTTGTTTAGAGCATAACACCTTCAAGTCTATATGCTCTGAAATTGTGAAGTAGCAACCTTCAGTCTTTATTTAAGTATGGTTAACACCTTTGCATGCTTTTTCCAGGTTCACCCAAATTTGACAAAAGCTGATAAGAGGAAGATATGTGGTCTGATTGATGTCAAGAAACTTACAACGGAGGCGTCGATGCATGCAGCGCAGAATGAACGGCTCCCACTTAGAGTTGTCGTTCAAGTTCTCTTCTTTGAACAGGTTAGAGTCTCAGCTGGTGTCGAAGCACAAAACAACAACTCTCGAGACTCGTCGAGTGCAATGACGAGCATAGACGAAGAATGCCCCAAGGAGTTGGACAACAGTAAGTCCCTAAAACACAATGTGGGGCACATGACGATAAATGAAGACATTCAGAAAACTCAGTTGGCTAAGAAGAGCAGCAAGAACAGTAGAAGTGGCATGAAGTTGTTGCCTTCAAGGTCGAGGAGAATTTTCGATAAGTTATGGATCGTGGGTAAAGGTCACGGGGAAGGTCGGAGTCCCGAAATGTCGGGGAGTTCTCAGAGTCCAACTTCAGTGGTTCCTGTGCATATGAAGTCTTCTGGTACGTATGCAAGACAGAGGCGGCACTCAATATCTTAGATTATGGATAAAAGCTGTTGCATCCAAAATGTAGAAGGTGCTAGGATGTCATATCGGTAATGGTTTTCTAATCAATTTCTTTTATGAGGAAAAATGGTAGATGAGACATTTAAATGCCATTTGTAGAAACTGTTAAATCATTGTATTTGCGCTTTATATGTAAATCTATGTTCATTCAAATCTCTTGTTCAGTAGATGTGAGTTCTTAATGCCCAATAGCCAGAAGTTGCATAGGAAGATTTTCACTTCCGTATCAGCTTCCATATCAGCGCAGTCATTTGTAACATTTGTAAAGGTCAAAGCTAACAAATATTATTCACTTTGACTTGTTACATATTACCGTCGGCTTCATAGTTTTAAAATGCGATTACTAGAGAGATTTTCACTCTTACAAAAAATGTTTCATTACTTTCTCCCACTGATGTAGGATTTCACAATCCACCCTTTTGGGGGCTCAACATCGGTGTCTGGCTTTGATACCATTTGTAACAATTCCATTTTGACTCGTTACGTACTACCGTCAGTCTCACGGTTTTAAAAAGCTACTATTAGAGAGATTTTCACCCACTTATAAAAAATATTTGCTCCCCTTTCCAACCGACGTGGGATCTCACACCGTTTAAGGTTAAAAGAACGACAATAGAGAGAAGAACAGTTCACAAGTTATGAAACTCCCTATGCTTTCTACTTATGAAAATCTATGTCCATTTGTTCAGAGAATATTAAACAACTTCCTACAAAAAGAAAAACACATCCAAAATTCAAAAAGAATAAATATCCTCAACCAAAGCTTAAGAGAAGACTTGTTAACTCTTTGGGCCAATATCCTTCAAGCCACAGATTTGTTCCTCTCCCATGGCTGACATGACACTCACAACAAGGTCCTTTCCTCCTGCAAACCCATCTTTAATCTGAAACAGATGCATGAAACGCCTTTGTAAACATGTGGTTTTGTGTATTTAGGAGAATAAGTATGTGCAGAGCCTTACCTGAGTAAGTAAACTATCATCCGTAGGAAGCCTCAAATCATCCTTTGTGCTTCCGTTGTCAGTCAAGAGGCTCACCTAACAACAAACCAGATTTCAGTGGGTCAATCATTGCATTGAAGTATATCCAACACGATGTCGTAACCTACAATACTAACGCTTCAGACTTGCAGAATACCGCACAAAGCAGACAACCTATTGATACCAATCAACAATTTAACCTCACAATGTAATCTATGAGTCTTCATTAGTTACTTGTTCATATGCCTTCAACTCTTCAATTTATTTTTTCTTGTTAACCATTCCATTGTTAACCCAAGTAAAGATCAAACTGCTTCATGTAAGATATGAACTAATCATATATTTGTACAGGAAAATCTCTGTTAAGACCTATGATGTCCACCAAGTTGGAATCAACATAAAAATGTCATGAATTCCATTGTCAACCTAAATTTTCGTACTCGAAATAGAAAAATAATTAGGAAGAAACTCACAAATCCATCTTCAGAGATGTCGATAAGCTGATAATCTGTACGAGTAACCTCAGGAACCTATAGAGGGGACGGGGAGAATGTGAGACAGAAAAGCTATGCAAACCCGACATTTAAAAACACACCAAAAAGAAAACAAAAACAAAAACAATAAGCAAACAAGACAAGGGGGGTACTCACATCACAGTTGTGGGAAGATGGAACAATATCTTCAAGTTTTTTTGGTGGTGAATATATCTATTGCCACAAAGTGACATTTAGCATGCCCATGCTTTCCAGTCTTGGACGTAGAAACCTCAACTACCTACTTTAACATAATATCATTAAAATGAGTAATATAAAGATCAAAGCTCCTACACAGTTATGCCAATTGGGAATTCCTTTGGTAGCACATGAAGAGAACTTCTCAAACCTTGCCTCTTGAATGAACAAATAAGTAGAATTGGAGACGAGTTTTTTGTAATGCTCTAACAATGTATGGAAAGAGACCCATTTAGATCCAGCAATATGGGAGTGATGCATGATAAATCATAGCGATTCAATTGTCAAAACACCGTAACAATGCAATAGTAACAACAATTACAAGTTCCCAGCAAGAGCAGGACTGGAATCCCCAATAGGATTGAAACAAAAAGATGATCAGCTATAGTCTCTCTGAACGAAAATAACATTTAGTAAGCCTTACCGTTGGAGATTTAGAACCAAATCTATTTAATACCTGTCCAATCAGTAGTAGATTTTTGAGAATTTTAATTGCAAAAGCTTATAAAAGCGAAGTCAGTAGAACTCAGAAATCCTTAAAAGAAATCATTATAAAATCGACTATTAATTCGTTGAACCATATAATAAAAGACAACTCAAACAAAAGGTTAATGGATACATCTTTAAATGCCTAAATCATACAGGAAACTACTGAAAACAAACAGGCAAGAACAGTGACCAAAATCTAATTTCAACCTAAAAATCTCCACCACTTTCTTATTTACACAATGCATATTCGTAAATATAGGAGCGCGGCAGGAATAATTTGGCATTAAACCAACAATAATCGAAACCACCATTTTATATAAAAAGTAAATAAAATAAAAAGAGAGAAGATTGTAATGGGGATACCTTACAAGGACGGCCCTTGATGACAAGGTAACCATTCTTGCGGATGGTTCCGGCCTGCTGAGGGAAGGTCTTGGAGGCTCCGGCGTCGGCCTTCGACTCGAATTGATGCTCTTCGTCCGACATTGAGGAATTCCGTACAAAACCAGGAAGATGAAGAAGAGATTTATTATTATTTAGGAATTACAATTTAGATATGGCGGCTGCATTTTCGCACGCATCACTCCACTCTTTATATAATCATATATTTTTTAAAATTATATTCTTTCTTTATAAAAAGATTTTGTTTAATATTAAAATTAAAATTAACAAACTTATATAATACCAAAATTTATAAAGGAAAAAAAAATCATATTTAAAAAAAAATAAACTTTGGGCCTGGGCTAGGGTTATTTGGGCCTAGCCCATCAAAGCTCGACTTATTTATGGGCTTGATCATTAAAATTTGAATTTATTCTAAATTTCTATTTTGGGCCTAATACCACATGACCCGTTTATTTGAGCCTAACCCATCAAAGTTCGACTTATTTATGGGCCTGGTCAATTGAATTTGGGCTTATTCTATATTTCTATTTTGGGCCTAATGCCACATGACCCAATTTCGACACTTTACCCTATTTGTTACACGACCCTTTATGGAAGGTGATTTTCTATTCAAATTCTAGATGTTGGTTCGTTCTTCGGGCACAGAATTAGACCTTGTTGATGGAAAGCTCGAATGTCGTCAACAAGGACTTGAACGTCATTGTTGAAACGCTCTCGACCTTCAAGTAAAGTCGAAAGAATTATCGAGTCTATTTCAACCCAGAAAGAGTAAATTATTACTTCCTCAACTATAATAATACTATTTAGTAGAGCAACACTCTAACAACTCATACCCTATTGTTAACAGATATTGTCTGTTTTGACCAACTACGTATCGCCATCAGCCTCACGGTTTTAAAACGCATCTATTATGGAGAAGTTTCTACACCCTTACAAGATATGCTTTGTTTCTCTCTCCAACTGATATGGGATCTCACAATGTTTCGATGAGCTCACAATTGCTTCGTTAATGCAAGATCCTTCACGATTTCTACATTAATTTTTCATCAAATAGACTGTGAAAAATCTTAAAGAAAACATTTTTTCCACATAAAAGGACAAGGAAATGGTAGGAGAGTTGATGTAAAACGATTTGTTTATTCAACCAAATAAGTCAAGTGGCTTATTGTCAAATTAGACTATAAGCTTAAGCTTTGTTTCAAAAACGGTGGTCATTATCAATCACATCAATATAATATTTTATATTTTATTTAACCGTTTTCCTCTTGATTATTATATCTAAAACTCGAGCACGCAAATATTTGTTAGACGAACACGACTCTCCACACTGGTATGATATTGTGTACTTTGCTTTAGGGTTTCCCAAAAGGCCTCATACCAATGGAGTTAGTATTCCTCACTTATAAACCCATGATCATTCCCTAAATTAGTCGAGGTGAGACTTTAATTATCCAACAATATTATCATTATCTATAATCATATTTATTAATTTTAATCGATGCAACAACTTAAATAATAAAATTAATTAAATAGGATCATAATTAGAAGGAAAATTAATTGAATAAAATAAGTTAAGAAATAGTAATGGAATAAAAACAAAATGCAATAATTAGGGGAAAAAAAAAAGCTAATAAAGGAGGAAAATAAGGTTAGGACCAAAAATTCCACGTCAACAGTTGTCCACGTCAATCGTACATAAATGTACTTATTTATCAGATACCATCAAATCCAAATTAAAAATCCATGCACCAATCAAAATTCGTTTTTGATTCCTGGGAGAATTAATGTTTTCCGTTGAATTTTAATATTTAAAAGATAATAAATCCACGTCGCGGACACGTGGCCTCAGCTTGGATAAGGTTTTTTTTTTCAATCATGACAAAGTTGGGGATTTTATTTTGAAATTTCTTTTTATTTATTTTTTTTTTTTTTGGAGTTTATGGTCAGGGGGTGGTCGTGAGTTAGTTACAAGATGCCTTACTACGTCTTTGTTTCACACCATAGTGAATTTTGGTTACAAGTTAGAGGTGTGCATGAGTTGAGTTGGATTAGTTTCGAAATTTTTTTAAATCAACTCTCAGTTAATTGGACTGGTGATCCAAGCTTTACCGCTCAACTCAACCCAACTCTTTTGAGCAATCGAGGCTGGTTGGGTTAAATTTGTGCAAAAGAGTGTATAATAAAATATTATGGTATACATTTTGTTTGAATTAAATAGGTAGGAAGTCTTGAGGAACTTTCTCCACAAGACAATGGGGATAAAATGAAGGCTGGTCTCAACGATTATTTCGTGGGGATTAAGAAACAATAAAATAAATTTATAAAAATTTCAAAGACCAAGACTGCCTTTTTATTTCAATTTTTTTCTTTTTTTTTTTTAATTTTATGATACAGATTATTAGCCTATGACTTTCAGTCGCCTGCAATTCAGTGTTCCTTATGAACACAAATCAGTTGTTTTAACCTCTTTTTTAATTAGGGTTTCTTCTTTTGTCAACTTTTCCGGCGCTGAGTCGGTCTGTGCTTACGCGGTGGCCGCTTTCCCACGCCGG